AAGCTGGGTTTATGCCTGACCAGTCATCCTCTCTTACATGCAGAAGCCAAGGGAAGCGTGGGTCTTTTTTCCTAATCCCAATCTGTGGTATACCCTGCTCATTTTATGTGGCGTTTGAAATGCACCAGGGGCTCAGAGCTGGGGCTGGCAGTAGGTGCTGGGCAAGGCTCTGAGACAGCAGCGAGGAAACACTGCTAGGCATGTTTTATGATATTGGCCAGGCCTGGCTCGTCTGCCACCGCCCCCGGCCTCGCTCTCCATCCTGCCCAAACAATAAGAGAGAAGCGGGGGCAGACACGAGCTCCAGACTGAGCTTCAGCCATCGCGTGGTTTGCGTGTGGGCCCATCTCTGAGGTCAGCGCATCAGGGCTCAAATCCAACATCCCTCCACAGGGGCCAGCGTTCCCCCCGTTGTGATGTACCAGCGTTCTAGAGCGGAGTCCATCCAGGTGCATAGTCATGGTTCTTGTGCCGTTTGGGTACAGTTCCTTGCTCAGTGGCCCTCAGTTATCGTCGGGTGGGTTTGCTCTTGAGGTGGCCAAACAGGGGAGCAACGGTGGGGGGGTTTTCCCAGCATGCAGAGCTACAGATTAAGCCCTCAACCAAGAGCATGTCATGGCCACCCGTGCCCTAGACCATGTGGAGAAAGCGAGTGACCCTCCAAAAGGGCACCATCGGTAGCACTTACACAGCTCTGTGCCTGGTCACATTCTGTGTTATGCTTGGTCGTATATTTGCACTCAGCCAATTAGTCGGTCAAACCTCACCCAATTGTGTATTTCAGGTGTCTATTTTGTTGCATTTCATGCAGTTGATGGGCTCAGGAGGCCCCACAAAGAGCCTAACTTAGATTCAGACCCAAGCTCTGTCCAATTCCCTAGTGCATTTGGATTCAGGGATTGTGGGCTGAACCCATGTCTAAGTCTTATCTCAGGTCTGTCCTCTGGTGCAAAGATATGGAAAACACACTCCCTTGTGGAGATGTGATGCCAAATTCATCCCAGGTGTTTTCCACCCAGCTTAATGCAGTCCCTCCTGGGGCAAACTTGGCCCATTATGACTAACATGGCTTTTGTTACTGGGGCCTGAAGTATGTTTACCTAGCCTCTTGGACCAAGTTTTTGCAAGAAGAGAAAGGCTACGTTTACACTGCAGAGTTTTTGCACAAAAACTCGCGGCGTGTCCACCTTACAAGCTCGTTTTTGCACAAGAAAAAGCACAGTAGATCGTCAGAAGACAGGGCTTTTTGCGCAAGAGTTATTTCTTTTTCTACGAGGAATAAGCCTTTTTGCGCAAGAGCTCTTGCGCAAAAAGGTGTGTGTGGACGGACAACAGGAGTTTCTTGCGCAAGAAACCCCTATCGGAAAAAGCACAGGTGCTCTGATGGCCATTCTGTTAATGGCCATCAGAGCTTTCTTGCACAAGAGCATCCATGGCAGTGTGGACGCACTCTTGCGCAAGAACTTTTTGTGGGAAGATATCTTCTGCAAAATGTTCTTGCGCAAGAACCTGCAGCATAGACGTAGCCAACGTGATCTGCCAGGCTCACGGTGTTAGAAGAACCAGGTGTTATGTGTTCTCCTCCTTTCTCCTCATTTTAAAATGGAAACTCAATATACAAAAGGAAGGAAGGAAGGAAGGAAGGAACTAACGTATTGGATACCAAGAGGTGGTGTATGGAGTGGGCTGTAGGAGAACTATTGCAATACTGTTGTCACGCTGACACTGACCAAAATGAATTTATTGCACAAGCAGGGCTGGTGTGTGTCAAAATATGTCCCCGCAGGAAGCCAACAATAGCAATCAGCACCAGCCAATGCTGCACTCACTTTGAACCATAGCTGGTTCGTCACAATGAGTTCAGGGATTGCTAACACGCTTGCCAAATAGCTCTCAGCAATCCCAATAGGCCCAGTTCTGCCAAGTCACCTGGCAAAATTCCCAAGGAGAGCCCAGTTGGGCCATCTCAGTGAGAACAGCGTATAGCTTGCGGGGGTTGTAGGAGCCCTGCAGGGAGCATCAATAACAGGAGCACTGAGAACAACCCAATAGCCCGTTAGCAGTGTAAGAACAGCGTGGCTCACAAAGCCCAACTCTGCCCTTTCAAATTCCCGCGGCAGCTGCCGGGCCTGTTTCAATCTGCAGATCTTGTTCCTTTACTGCCACCTGTCTGGGGCCCGACCCCACGGCTGTTCAAGTCAGAGGAGCGACCACTGGGGAGGGAGGGGCATCGTGGAGCGAGGCTTGGGGCAATTACAGCCAATCAAAGACAGGCACACCCCCTAATCCAAGGCATTTGCAGGCTACAGGCATATACGAAAGCACCAGGTAGGCAAAGCCAGAGCAGCATGAAATCCATCCCAGAGCAGGTGGCTTGTCAGGAGCATAGAAAGGGGAAGAGCCTAGCACGGAGACACTGTGCGGACCACAGTAAGGTCTGTGCTAACATACACCAAAGAGGCTCCATTCACTGTCCTTCTCCCCACACGCCAGCCACATCTGCACGTGTTCCATGGATGTTAAGATGGAGCTGCACTGGCGTCTAACCCGTTGGACAGGGAGGGTGCTGTACGGCAACAGCTGGATGGGGCCCATGTGCTGTATGTGGAGGAGAGGAAGCAAAAGGTGCTTCTAATCATGTGCCCAAGGGAGGAGGGGTGACCTCCACCTGCCATCAGGCTGTGGGAGGTGCAAGTGATAGTAATTGCACCCACCAAAATGGAGGCTTAGTCAAAGGCAGCATGAAAATTTGATCTGACATGGGAATCTCTGATCATATTAATGGATTTATGCAGATGATTTCCCTCTCGGTGAGCTGTGAATACATCCATCCACCCGTGGGTATGTGTCGATTTCGGTTCTACATGCAGGTACACACACACACACATACACTCACACTGTCATTTCCGGAATCACGGGCATTTTCTCATGAATTGGAGATTTTCAAGTGTGGTCTAGCCATTCCTAGCAAGCATTTGAGCAAAGATTCCTCCCAACTAGCTGAGGTTGTTGCTAACACGTCTGCCCGACCTTTTAAATTAGCTGCTTCTGATTCATTTTTATGATTTTATATACCTGAATTCATAACCTCTGCTCACTTAGGCATTGCTTTGCTGAATGCTTCCAACTGTGGGTGTGCCACCGGTTCCATTCACAGCTGCAGGGGAATAGAGGAGACAAAAATAAGTGTAATCAAGCAAACACACACAAACACATACCTCCTTTGTTTTGTTAATTGGAGCTGTCCTGGTGTTTGAATTAAGACATCTGGAGATGCCCTAGGGCATGATGTGGGGGTATTCACTGTAAAGCCATTTGTTAATACCTGCCCCGGGCTGCAGTCTAACGCAGTTAGACAGCATTTTGTTCTTCAAATAAACCAGGGATGCAGGTTTCCTCTGACAAGCCTGTTTTGATTTTGTGCAGAGAGGCTGAATCCATCAGAGAAAAGGATTCAAACCCTGGCAACTGTGCAATACTTCGATAGTGTCTTGCCAAATTCTGCCCTTCTGGCAAGCAGTTCTAGTTGCATTTGAAATCAAACTGTAACTGACCATGTTCGGGTGATTCAGTTCTTTTCTGTCGCAGCCTGTCCTATATGGTGTTTGAAAATGCCCCGGGTAAATTTTTCTGCCATCAGTATTTAACCATCACTAAGGTTTGATCTCCAAATTGGGTGGTAACTAAGCACACAGGGAAGCTCTATCTTCCTGGTCACACTATTTCAGATATGTCAAAAAGAAGCATTTCTAAAACAAAAAAAGCCAGATCCTCTGGCTAATACAAATCAATATCGCTTCACTAAAGTGGGAGTCCATTGGACCTATGCAGCTTTAGACCTCCTGGGAGTCTAGATTTACACCAGTGTAATCAAAATCACACCCAGAGTTCCTCCAGTGAATTTCATTGAATTATATTAGAACAGAATCAGGCCCATTGATCATAAGCTAGCCTTAGTCTCTTCCTACAATGCTCCCATTGATATTAGTAGGTCAGAATATGAGCTTTTAATATCATGCATAACAATGTTTCCTATAGATGCAAAATTGCTCTTGAGACCATCCCTGTCTATCAAGGGAAAAAGTATCTTGGCTCATATAAATAATTATCACGAGGAATGAAAAAACACTCATGGGAATTTTGAAAGAAGACGTTTTTCACCTGATTGGATAACCATTTTGGTAAACACTTTATAAATGACCTTTTCCTGCAACTCATTTAATTGCAATGTGAAATGACATATACACTTTCAAAAGGAGTGCTTGTACCAAAATATATTATTTACATAATTGATCATAATGGCTCCTTAGGTGGGGTTATGATGTAGCCAGTTTAAAACAAAAATAGAAACCAACACAGGTAAAAATATTCACTCTCGGATGTAAGACTAAACCTAATACATTATACAAAAGCAGCGAGGAGTCCATTATAGGCACCCATACATATAATACATTATAGGCACCCATATGATATAATCTGTAAATCGTGTATTTACAAATGAATGAGCCAATTTAAAATTGAATTAGTGCAAAGGTCACATGTGTCAAATCCATATTCAGTAAAAAGACCCATGGAATATGTAATTAGCATAAGATAGAGACCAGAGTGCATGAACCATGGCAAATACTATGTTGTGGCCAACACCCGATATTGAAAAGGAAATAGAAATTAACCCTTCATGCATATACCCAACTGTGCAGTAACACCCATCAGAAAAAGTTCCTTCCTGACCCCTGCAGGTAATTGTGCCCTGAAGCTTGAGAGCTGATCCTCATTATCCAAGGTAGAAACAGACCAGTGTTGCAACGTAGTTTTAAAAAGCCCACACTTCCTCCAAATTTGAAAATCTTAGGATGTAGAGGTTTAAGGTTGAGCCCAGCCTAACATGGGGCTTTTCAAACAGCACTGTGAAAATCTGTTGGGAAATCCCAAGGACACCAGCTCCCAACCTCTTGCATTAAGA